GTACAGGCTCGGATTGACAAGTTTAAATGGGAGTTTCAAGGAACAAATTTCACTGCAGATTTTATGGCTATTCCGTTGAACGGATGTGATGGTGTATTGGGTGTTCAATGGTTGGAAACCATCAGTCCGGTCACTTGGGATTTTAGAAAGCTGACAATGAAATTTGAATATAATCAAAGACGAGTGGTGCTACATGGAATTAAGGACGGATCTGTGAGAAGTGTTAAAGCTGAAAGGTTGAAGAAGCAACAGGACACTAATGTGGAGTTATCTATGTTGTGTGTGTCGTATGAAGAAGAACACAAAACAGCAACACTATTCTCTTTGAATACAGAAATGTCAGAAACAGAAACCAATCCTGCCATTACAGAACTACTTCATGATTATTCGGATATCTTTGAGGAACCAAGAGAACTACCTCCATTTCGAGCTAATCATGATCATAAGATCCAACTGATCGAAGGTGCAAATCCAATAAATCAACGACCCTACAGATATGCAATCCAACAGAAGAACGAGATTGATAAGATTGTACAAGACATGTTGAAAGGAGGTACAATTCAACCAAGCTCTAGTGCATTTGCTTCACCTGTTGTGTTGGTTAAAAAGAAAGACGGGTCGTGGAGATTATGTGTGGATTATCGAGGACTGAATGGATTGACAGTTAAGGATCGATTCCCTATTCCACTCATTGAGGATCTAATGGATGAGTTGGGTGGTTCCAGCATTTACTCAAAGATTGACTTACGGGCAGGATATCACCAAGTGCGGATGTGTCCAGACGATGTACACAAAACAGCATTCAAAACCCATAGTGGGCATTTTGAATACATCGTTATGCCATTTGGCTTGACTAACGCACCAGCAACGTTTCAAGGGTTGATGAATGCAGTATTCAAGGAGTTCTTAAGGAAGTTTGTGTTAATCTTCTTTAATGACATATTAATCTACAGCAACTTTTTGGAAACTCATTTGATACATTTGAGACAAGTTTTCGAGGTTATGAGGAAGCAACAATTGTTTGCCAAAGAGAGTAAATGCGCTTTTGCTACCAACAAAGTGGAATATCTTGGTCATTTCATTGAGGCAAAGGGTGTTTCTACGGACCCAGCAAAAGTCAAGGCAGTTAAGGAATGGCCTCAACCGAAGAACTTGAAACAACTGAGGGGATTCTTAGGCCTAGCTGGTTATTACAGACGTTTTGTAAACAACTTTGGGACCATCGCAAGACCATTAACTCAGTTAACAAAGAAAGATTCATTTCTCTTGTCAGATGAAGCACATACGGCTTTTGAAACGTTGAAACAAGCTTTATGTAATGCCCCAGTCTTGGCTCTTCCTCGATTTGATAAACCATTTTTGGTGGAAACTGATGCAAGCGGACAAGGAATAGGTGCTGTCCTGATGCAGGAAGGTCATCCCCTAGCTTACATCAGTAGAGACTTAACGGGCAAATAACTTCATCTCTCCATATATGAAAAAGAATTATTGGCTGTGGTTTTTGCTGTGCAGAAGTGGAGACACTATCTACTTAATGATCACTTCATTATAAAGACTGATCAAAGAAGTTTGAAGTACTTGTTAGAACAGAGGCTGAATACTCCGATTCAACAGCAATGGTTACCGAAGCTATTGGAATTTGACTATGAGATACAATACAAAGTGGGCAAAGAAAACTTGGTTGCAGATGCGTTATCTCGAGTTGAAGGCACTGAAATCTTACATATGGCTTTATCAGTGGTGGATTGCGATTTGATGAAGCAAATTCAGGCAGGGTATGAAACGGATGGAGTTCTCAAGGCTCTAATTACAGAATTGGTAAATAAGCCGAACTCAAAGAAGCATTACGTATGGTCTCAGAACATTCTCAGACGAAAGAGCAAGATTGTGATCCCTGCGGATGGTACACTAAAGACCATGATACTGAAATGGCTTCATTGCTCACTCTGGTCGAGATGCAACACATCAGAGAGTCAAGAGTCTTTTTTATTGGAAAGGTATGGCAAAAGATATCCAGGAGTTCATACGAAGCTGTTCTGTATGTCAGCAATGCAAATATGATAATGCAGCATCACCAGGATTACTTCAACCATTACCAATTCCATCATCAGTATGGACAGATATATCAATGGACTTCATTGATGGCCTGCCTCTCTCATTTGGGAAATCAGTTATAATGGTAGTGGTTGATCGTCTAACGAAAGCAGCTCATTTTGTTGCATTGAGTCACCCCTATACAGCTGTAATGGTTGCCTAGGCTTTTTTGGATAACATATTCAAACTTCATGGGTTACCAGCCTCTATTGTGAGTGACCGAGATGCCATATTTCTCAGTGAATTTTGGAGAGAATTGTTCACACTACAAGGAGTAGCCCTTAATTACTCAAGTGCATATCACCCACAAAGCGACGGACAAACGGAGGTGGTGAACCGTTGCTTAGAAACTTATTTGAGGTGCATGTGTAGTGATCGGCCATATCTGTGGAGCAAATGGATTCCTTTAGCTGAGTATTGGTATAATACTAGTTTTCATTCTTCCACACAAATGACGCCTTATGAAGCAGTTTATGGACAACCTCCTCCTCAACATCTTCCATATCTTCCTGGTGAATCGAAGGTTGCAGTGGTTGCCAGGAATTTACAGGAGAAGGAGCAAATGTTGTTGATTCTGAAGTTTCATTTGCTTAGAGCTCAACACCGCATGGAACAACATGCTAAGAGGAAGCGTTCTGAACGAAGTTTTGCTATCGGTGATTTTGTCTTTGTGAAACTTCAACCATATAGACAAGGCTCAGTGGTGGTAAGAACAAATCAGAAGTTAGCTCCTAAATACTATGGCCCTTACAAGGTGATAGATAAATGTGGAAAAGTTGCTTATAAACTAGAGTTACCACCAACTTCGAGGATTCATCCAGTTTTTCACGTTTCTCAGCTCAAGCTACGAGTGGGTGATGTTCCAATAAGCACTCAATTACCATCAGCTGTAAGCGATGTTCTGGTTAAAGAACCTGAGAGAGTCATGGAACGTAAGATGGTGAACAGGCAAGGCCGTGCTGCTACAAAGGTGTTGGTAAAATGGACTGGTGAAGATGAATCTGAAGCAACTTGGGAATTTCTGTTTGAATTATTGCAGAAATTTCCTTTCGTTCCAACCATGAGGACATGGTTGCTTGGAGGGGAAGGATTTGATATAGTAAATAATACGCAGCAACTATACGGACACGTGGACGGTGGAACTTGAAAGAAGAATCTACGGTGGAGATTTAATGGAAGAAGTAACAGATATTTAGCTGAGTCAAGACGAAGAAGAAGATTCATTCTGAGAAAGTTTGTTACAGTTTCTTCTCATCTGGAAATTCTCTCTTGTAATTCTCAGTTCTTCCTCTACGTTGAATCTTTCTGTATCCAGATTCTTGTAAGTAGAACCATTGGATTCTTTGTTTGTATTGAACATTGGATTCAAGTTTGGTGAAATCGAATATAATTGGATTTGTGTGTGTCAGTCAGATGAAGTCATTGGAGTAGTTACGGGTCTTGCATCGTTCATATTCATCTTTGCCAACAAATCATGATTATATTTCCATTGATTCAGGTGAAGTCCTTCACTTGTTTGAACTGCTTCTATTCTCAAAAATATACATGAATTCCCATATCTTTTATCGAAAAACGATTGGCTAGAGAAATGATGGCTTCTTTAATACCTATCTGGCTGTGACTGGCTGGTTCTCTTGCCGAGGTGACGACATTAAACTAGTGAATTCACCAGCAAGATATTTCTTCAATTTCAAACAATCCTTAGTGTCTTACGCCTTCACTTTGTGAGCATGATTATAAGCTTTTTTGTCGTATACCTCGCTCATCTTATCAACCTTTGGCGGGCTGATGGAGCCCCCTTTGAGTGGTAGGAAACATTTTCCGCCATTTTGAATCTTTTGTGTTAGAGTTCAAACTTGTTTAACCCTCTTTCTACCATCAAATTGTTGTAGCTATCAAAATTTTGTAAATAAACTTATCGAAATACTTTGGCTTATATTTTATAAAAAAAAAATTGAATGACTTTTGAGCAACAAACAGATTATTGCTCAAAGTGAGATGAACGGATCAAAGATGGTTTTAGACAAAATGCAGGAGTAAAATGAGTTTAGTATTTCGTCCCTAAATGCGTTTACACAAGAACAATAACTAAAAATTGATAAGTGTTAAGTTTAGTGCTAGTTTTGATCGAGTGGAAAAAGTTGTCATGCTCCTTGATCTTACTTTTGTTTTAACACCCCGAGTCTGTGTTTAACTTTTTCAATTTTATTCTGCTTGATTCTCCACGAATGGCAGTTAATCTGGTGGATTCAGTTGTTACACTCAGACTTCTGATTTTACTGGTTTGAACAAGTCTTTGGTCTTTTTTTTTTTTTTGTCGACTTTTTCATTAAAGCCCATAAGGGCAACAACATACAAGATACACGTATTTGAAGCCTAGCAAGAAAACGAGCCCAGAAAAACATACACGTAACGAGCCCGATCTAGGTTAGAAGTTTATTAATCCGAAAAACGGAAAAAAAATCTGATTAACATCGGAAATTTACAACAAAAAGTTGATCGGAGGAGAAAAAGTTCTCTTCGTAAAGGATAAAGATGAGAGAACGAAAAGAGAAAAAAAACTCCTCCTGATTACCACACACTATCTTCTATTTGGTGAACAAGTCTTTGGTCATCTGGCGTACTTTTCAGCTTGATCCTCACTTTTTATGTCTTTCACTTTTTCGGCTTTTTTTTTTTTGCGTTTTACTTATTGGACATAACATATTACCAATCAATCCATCAATGAGAATCTTCAAACGGTTGAGATGATTGTGACTTGTGAGAATGGTTGAGAATTAATTTCCAATTTGTTTTTCTGAGATAAGTGCTAAAAACAATCAAAAGAAATATTTTTTTTTTGTTAAAAAGGCGAAGGAAGAGACAGTCAGTTGACACAAATCACTTTAAACCGTCACAACAACAACAACCAAAAAAAGGGAAAAGGAATCGAAAAGTCTTTTTCGAACTGGACAGTTTCAGTCTACATCGACGAGGTAAGTTCCATGGAATTGGGATTTGACATCGATTCAAGGGGTTTTAAATTAAAGGCTAAAGTTACGATCTAGGGTTCTTAGAGAAATTTTTATAATTTGCATTTGGTTTTGTTTTACTCTGAATTGTGTCCTCAGATTTTGATCTAATGCCCTAATAGATTTTGCATATGGAGGCCTCCTCGTTGAATTCTTTAGACATATCGACCATCTCGAAAGAGGTGGAACAAATGTCATTGACTCACCGTGTTGTCCGCCACAACAAGAGATTACGAGAGTCTAGATATTCTCCTTACGTTAAAGGGTCAGTGATATTCATTCCCTTTGAGAATTTATTTTCTTACTCAGTGAAAATATTAACTTGTTATATTTATTTGCAGGACTGCTTTCACCAAGATGGAGGAGAAGCAGAAAGAGGAGGCTGTGCAACTAGGTGTTGAGCTCTCGCTCTTTGTGGCTGAAGCAATGTTCCTATTATCCGATGACATACGTTCTGTGTCGCTGTTCTGTTTTTGGATATTGAGGCGTGCAGGAAACGGAGATTATCGTGGTCCTGCGGTAGGAAGGGTGTCTCGTGTTATACAATATGTGTTTGCAACTTATATCAAACCCAAAAAAAGAGTCTATCATGATGGTGGCAAATCCATTCAATGTCAACTGATAGGAACGTTTCAAAAGAATTTTATTTTTGGAATGAGAGGTTTGGCTCACATTGTTTCCATTCTCAAAATTGGTGGCCTAGTGAAACCGTCTGTTTTGGAACACTACAACCAAGAGCTGAAGAAGCTAGAGGAGAATTTGAGGTCTGTCAGGGATGTTTCAGAGGCGAATGGGTTTTCGAGGGAATTGATAGAGTTTAACATTCTTCACTTGTGGAAGTCTCTCTTTGAAACAACGCCCTTAAAGATGAGCCCTGATAAGACTATAATGATCGAGCTGTTTGGGGGTCTCCTGAACGAAGCAAGCCGGAATATTTGCTCTCGTCGTCTAGCTTCTTTAGTCATATGAATCAGAGTTTCTTAGCGCTTCTTATCTTATTGCAGATTGTTATAAACTTATAGTTATTCGGCTTCTATTTATGAAATCATAACGATCCATTGGATTCTCTAAATAAATGTGAGACAAAAGTTGTAAGTAGATAAAAGTGGTCGTATTAAGTGGCATTCCAAACTTTAATGAGTATGATTTAAAAGTGTATATCTCACTCCTTTACATTCTGTCAATTTTATGTTGATAATATCTTCTGTATAATAAACTCTAAATCCCGGCGTGGGATACTGGAGTTAAAAGCACATTTGTGGCATACACCAAATTGGCACTCCTTTCTCTACTCCAAGTGTCAGTAAAATAACTAAGCAGCTTCACAGGTCTTTCTTCACACTGTCACTTGATATTAGCAACATATACGTAATATTGAAAAGGATGAATAATTACAGGGCTTGATTTTATAACTGATCGACGACATTTGTGTCATAGAAAGTACATAAAGCATGATGATATCAATATAGCTGGAGAATTTTATCGATAGTTCGTTATTCTTGAGTGGTTTAAAAAATTGAACTTGGGTACTATGGCTACAGAATTTTCAGAAAACTGAAATGGAATTGAATGAAATACAAGCCGATTGGGCACAAAAGCGAGCATGACTTTTATGATGGGCAACAATCTCTGGAATGACTAGTAGTCTAGGATCTTGTGAAGTTTGAGGTTCCCTGCTTAACTCATTTCTTCTTTTGTGCCTGAAAAAAAAACTGATATATTACCCACATCCTTATCACAAACGCTTAAAGAATTTACAGAAATGGGCTGAAAACCATGAGAAACAGCATAATCGCTAGAGGACTGAGGCTGTGAGTAATTTGCCTTATGATTATGCTTATGTGGTTGGTGATGAGACAAAAATTGATCAACATCCTAGCATCAAACCCAAAAGAGAATTACAAACCGCAAATACCAAGATTAATGAACGGTTCTTTTTATTCCTTTTCTTATTTGTTTCAAGTTGTAATAAGGAGAATTGGTCTTCCTAGTCTTAAGGAACCAATCTCCCACTTTCCCATTCCCTAATGTTGAGGAATCGTGTGTCATCTCATCAACAAATCGTTCTTGTACTTTGCTTCTATTTAAGAAATGAAAAAAAAAAGAGTAGACTTTCTACCCCAAAACATTCAGTGTTATCAGTTGTTCTTTGAGCAATTTTTTAGCATTGAAGAGGGACTAATATTAGCAATTCTGGGTTGCTAACAGTTTGGTGTTGGGTTTAGGTTGCAAACTGATAAAAGCAACCTGTATACAAATTTCGAACATTCATTTTGGTTGTAAACAAGTTTTTAATGGAAAAATAGAATACATAAATCTTGTGTAAATCTGTTACTATTTAAATTTTTTTTTTTTTTGGTAAAATGTAAAGATTATATTACCAATTTTTGGTTTTTGACAAAATTACAAAGATTACAAAGAAAACAGATTAACCGAAAAACTACTAAACAACGACAAATAAGTAATAAACAACAACGAAAGGTTAAGAAAGACGGTTTGAGAGACAAGAAAAATAAAACCAAAACAACACCAAACGAGAAAGCAGCAGTCACACGCCGAAACGCGGACCATCCCGTTTTGCCGTTGTCCCGAAGAACTAGAGCTCTCATCATCGTTGCCACGAGCATCATCCCGAGACCAGCCCTCAAACCTTAGAAGTGAGACGCCTACAGCTTCTCCAAGAACTAACGGAATTTACTATTTAAAAGTTTAGAGTGGAAAGTTGATTGTTAAGCTAAATAGACGAGGGAAAAAAAAGTTTGTTGGATTTAAACGAGATAAAACAAAACTTTTTATTTATTTATTTATAAACTTCCTACATCAGCAAAGCTCAAAAACAGATGGAATAACTTTTTTTTTTTGAACACTCAGAGATGAAAATGCTTAATTCATTTATCTCATACGATTCTGTCAATATCACATTCATACTATAGTTAAATCTCTATAAATTAATAATATCAAAATTACAATATTATATTAATTTATTAAATTATTAATTTATTAATATAAAAATTAACTCAAAAAATTAATTTAAAACTTAAAAAATATATTAATTTATAGAAGTTATACTGTAATTTAATTTAGCAATATTAAACCATTACATCACATTTGTTTACTTGACAACTAGTTAAAGCTGTCAGTTTCAGATACTAGATCAGAAATGGATAAAATTCATTCTTTATTGAAAGTATTAGGGGCAAAGTATTACCCAAAGCCCACATAATAAAATACTATAATATCAACAATTCGACCTGATTGTCGCTAATTATTTTAACCCACTTATACAACAAATTCGGTAAAGAAAAACGGTTCCGAAAAGTAGATATACAATAGCTTGACGTGAAAAAATCTTATTTTTCATGTAAATAAAACTTATTGCTCTGAGCGCAATAACTTCCACCTGTTACTTAGATATTTCACCAACAAATATCCACACAAATTTAAGGGGAAAATTCTGGACCATTTAATCCTGGAAAGACACCTACAATGGCTACGTCCTTGACCTCTCTTTCCTCCTCCGTTGAAACCGGAGCACGACCACCGATCAACCGACACGGCCGCCACCGTCTTCCCCCTTCGCGCCTCTTCCCTCTCCCTCCTTATGCACCTTCCATCTACTCTGCATCTTACTCAGACATCACGAGCTGCTCTTGGAGACGACGCTCTTTGAAGAACATTTCTGCGCTCGAGACCTCTGATGGCACCGTTAACGTTGACGTAGACGATGACGAAGAAGAACAAGAAGAAGAAGCGTGTGAGCTGGTTAACAGAGCAGAAGTGTCAATTGACGGCGTTGAAGCTCACCTTTTAACGGCGGTAAAGAATAACAACGGAACTGGATTGCTTATACTCTCTGATGTCTTCGGCTTCCAGGATTCATCCACAAGCGACTTCGCTTATCGTGTTGCTTGCAATGGCTACAAGTATTATTCATCTTGTCCATTTTCTTCTCTCTATCTCAAATTTAATGATTCTAATTTCAAATTATTGCCTTTCTTGAGACAGTGTTCTTGTCCCGGACCTGTTCCATGGAGATCCATGGTCGAAAAACCGACCAGAGTCCGAATACGAGGAATGGAGAAAAGGACAAGACCCGAACCGGATCCGAGAAGACGTAACAGCGTTGACCAAATGGATGGTTGATGAATTTGCAGCGGCCGGGATCTCCAAGAGGCTAGGAGTGATGGGATTCTGTTTTGGCGGTGGACGCGTTGTAGACGTGTTAGCCGCCGATCAGAACGGTTACTTTAGCACCGGAGTGTCCTTCTATGGAACCAGAATAGACTCTTCGGTGGCCGGAGAAGTAAAAGTCCCGGTCTTGTTCATTGCCGGAGACAGAGACCCGCTTTGCAAAGTAGAGGATTTGAAGGAAATTGAGGAGAAAATTGGTGGTGAAGGGTCGAAGTTTGTTGTGTTTGAAGGAAGAGCTCACGGCTTTGTTCACAGGCCGGAGACACCGGAAGATGATAGAGACGCCGAGGAAGCTTTTGCCATCATGAGGAATTGGTTACATCATCATCTGCTGCTTGGAAACTAACGATTTTATTCTGTGCTCTATGTACATCCCGTTTAAAAAGAACTTCCGATTCTTGTAGAAATCTAGGTATCTGGATCCGTTTAAAATAAAACTTAGTTAACAAAATAGCTAGATAATCGGAATTTGCTAAAACCGATTATGAGTTACCAGATCAAATCTCAAGTCCTTTTGAGTCCAAAGTCCAATAGTGAAACATGCGTATCCCACTACATGCAATGGCGCCTGGAGATTGCAATGCCCAATTGTGACTGACTGACTGGTGGAAGTTGGCATCTCCAAGATCAGAAGCTGCTCTCACACTCTAGACTCACCTAACCAACATTAATCTGCCAAGTTCTTCCTCCTTGCTTGATACACTTCGCGTGAATGAAGAAGATTCTCCTCCAAACTCACTTGGAAAACAGTCAGACAAAGAGAGGATGCAAAAAAAAAAAAAAAAATAGTACAGAACAGCCTGATTTAAAGGTGCCACTTCTAACCACGCTTTCACGATGTAGGCACTACGAAATCCCGATTGGCGTCGTGAGTAATGCTTATCCCAATGGTCTACAACACTTGGAAGGAGAGAAATAACATGTTCTTCAATCTTCAATTTGTCCCATCTTCTCAAATATTCAGCTAGAAGACATCAAAGGCATTTCGGAGACTTTAATGTCTGTATGGCTTCGTTGAGTGTAGTTTCTGCTTGCACTAAAATCGTTTGTTACTGTTTTTCATTTTTCTTTTTGCCTATAGACTGGGTTTAAGCTCTTCGTAAAGTTCAGTGTTTATTTATATGATTTTTATAGTTTAGGACACACAAAAAGTATAATATTCAAATCCAACGGTTAAAAGATTCTATACGAAACCCTCTTCAATATAGTTTAAACCTTGAGTCTGGTTAATTTGTCCGTTTGCAGCCACTAGAGTTGCAGGAGACCAAGTAGAAATCACAATAAAAGTAATTTCTTTACTCAAAAGAATGTGTGGAAATAAAATCTCAACCACTTTCCATTTGTGTATTCCCTACACCATATGATCGAGCGAGAGTGATTTATGAGTGTAGTTAGGTTGTCTTGTGGGACACACACCAGTCACCAGGCCCCCTTTTTGTGTGCCTTGATCTGACCAAACACAAAAACTCTTATCCTCTTCTCCTCAAATTTTATTACGAGAAAAAGAAAAACTAACATGTAACTGAAAGCCAAAAATATATAGTTTCAAGGTTTCCTTACTTTGAGACTATGTTTTCTCGAGTGCTTCAAATTCTTGGAGTGGGCGTGTTTTGAGTAGTTATTGTTTCTGATCTTATTTGGGTTTTGCGTTTCTTTCTGCACGTGTTACTGCTTGTTTTTATTGGTTTGGATAAGTCTTCGGTTATAGTTTTCTTGAGTCTCATGTCTTTTCTTTTAGTGCACTTGCAGGGACTACAAATTCTTTAGAAATTGTAGTAGGTGAAACGTGAAACCGTGAAAACGGTTTGGCAATTTAGTTCTAGCTAGTGCTTTTGGTTCATTAGATGTGTTTACGTTTTGTATCCCTCTTATAGGATATTGTGTTTACGTTTTGTATCCCTCTTTAGGATATTGTGTTTACATTTTGAATTGTCTCTTGTTTTTGGGCGTATGTCTCCAGCGATATAATTTGTTTCCACCAACTTTATCGTGCATAAAACTTTTGGGCTAAGTTTTCGGGTTTATCCGGCTTTTTAACATATTTTGGTATTTTAATATATATAATTCTGACCAAAACAAAAGAAGACGATGAGATAATAAATTATTAATGATTGTAATGAGAACTGTTTTGATTTTTCCTTATGAACTAGATCTAATCGCTCATCGACGAAATGATAATGAAGAAAGATTTCACATGAATTTCTTTGACTCAAAGAAAAGAATCACGAAGATGTTTGAAAATTCCACAAATAAATCCACATTTTTGCTTATCTACAAAAACATTATGAAGAAAAAAAAAAAAAAATATATATATATATATATGTATTTATGATAACTAAAGAAGAGGGACACTAATTCGACTGGGATCGCGATCCTGGTCGTCTTCTTCGCCGCAATCATAAACAGATCTAACCAGAATCAACTGATCCTCCAAGTATCTCTGGAGCAATCCCCCTACCTCCGGTCCAAATCGTCCGCCGCAATTACATCCTTCCTCACATCTCTGGAGCCGCAAATCATCTTCGTAATCGGCGGATTTAGCGAACCAAGGATGGCGACTGCGGAGGCGGCTGAAAATCTCGGCGGCGCATAGGACAGGAATGGACGCGAAGAGGAGGGGGACTAGTAGAGGAGAGAACATGAGGAAGAAGACGAAGCGGCTCCGTCGTGTACGGAGCCGAAAAGCGTCAGTCAACATAATGACGACGGCGCGTGGCGGCGATTCATGGCCGGATTCGAGGGAGGAGCAGAGGTCGTCGTACGCTGTACGATTTGGTAATCAGTGGGAATATAACAGAGGAGCGAAGAAGAAGGCACATGACTTTGTTGGTTTTTGTATTCTATAAGACTTTATTTGACTTTTTTTAGACGATATTTGACTTTTAATATACTTCATTTTGCTGTAATGCGACTCGTTTTCTACTTCTCTTTACATATAGTTTGAGTCATTTAGGGTTTGACACATTTTTTGAATTTCAGTTTACAAAATAGACATCTTTTGAGTTGAGACACTCTTTATATTTTACTAGAGGATTGACCACGCCGTGCGTGAATTTGTTTCACTGATTGTTGGAGACCGATTCTCTCGGTGCTTTGTAGATATCCATCTTTCTTTTTAACAGGTTTAGCAATCAGACTTAGCACCAATTCAGGAGTTATATGAAATGCAATTAACAGATTTGGGCCACATATAAACACAGCTTAATATACTTTTTATTGGCCAGAAAAGTTTTAAGTCCAGGTGCTTAAGCTCTCTAGATTTGTTTGTCATCATAAAACAAATTAAAGAATGAAACGTAGAATAAAAAATTGATTGAGATTCCATATTCGTTCTAACAGCTTTCCTCCTAGGCAACATCGATATCTTCAACCTTCTCATGCTGGAACATATTGGAATCAACTGGGATCTTCCTAATCAGATATATTCCACTTTGTCCAGTTCTTATCCGTTAAATAGTTTTTTTTTGCACTTGAAATTTGAACCAAATTATGTGTAGGATATCAGTATGTATCATTCTCTTGGATATAAGTATGTGAAATGTCTCGATGATATGGCTTGTGGTTTTCCATGCGCTAGATCATGACCAATTTGTTGATAAGAAATGTCCAGCTGTCTTTTGCCTGAAACATGAGATGACATAATATTAGAATTCATTTATTATTAAACGGTAGATTAACATGACACTTGACAAAATTTCAGTCAATATATATATATATATATATTGACAGCCAAGTATTTAATATTGGTCTGATAGACCAAACCGATAGTACAGAGTTTATATACATAATATTTTGAGTATAGATCTGAGCTTTCTTTGCTAGTGTGTTTGCCTTTGTATTCTTCATACGTGGGACATGAGAGGGAAAAATAGTTAAATCTCTCTTACTCTTCATGAATTCCTCAATGTGAATAACGAATGCTGACCATTCGTCAGGTGCAGTCTGTTGCAAAAACTACTTCTGTCTTCTGATTATCTAGCATACAGAACATAGCCCAAATTAAAGTTTTCATCTCCGCATGTAGAGGCGTGAGACTCTGTCATACAGAGCATATCTATAACTCCTTCCTTAAAATAGTATCATCTTAATCCTGTTGAAAGATCCATTTCTTTCCAAAACACATCAATATAACACCATCAGCCATCATATATATAATGGGTCTTGGTCCCACACCAATGGCATTGGTTTGTGAATTTAGATCTTGTTCTGATTCTTGTGCCTCTTTCCATAAAACCGCTTCCGTTTCTGTAATTTTCAGGATAACCTGTGGATCAACATTCAGATTAGAGTAAACTTTGTCATTCCTTGCTTTCTAGATATAATATGCAATCCATAGGAACTGTTTATTTTTATCCTCTTTTGATAATTTCCAAAATAAATAATCGAAATTGCTGTAAACCGATGTCAATGAAAACACAGCAGGTGGTGTTGGTATCCGAGATAGCGCCCAAGTTTGTAATACAGGGGGACACTCAAAGAGTACATGATTAATTGTTTCATATTCTGCTCTGCATCGTGCACATTGAGTGTCATATTGTATACCCCATTTTTAGATCGTATCCAACACTCGTAAACATCCAGATAATGCTTGCAAATGAAATGTCTTAACTTTGGGGAACATTCTAGTTTCCATGTATGAGTTTGCATTGGCTTTATATCTGGACCATATAATACTTCTAAAAAAATATCTGAGAAATGTTGTTCAGTCTGATACCCTGATTTTACCGTATACCTATCGGATTTGGTGAACTGCCAGCCAATTTAATCTGGTTTGTATGTCCTACTAATAGGGATTCCACAAATAAATTTTACATTGGTCAATAATTGCAGTTATCAATTCTAGATTCTACGTATTTGTCATTAGATCAATCAGATGTTTAACCATGAGATTTGGGTAACTACAATTTGCTGGTCTCGGAAGAGAAGATGGAATCTAGGAACAGTTTCATACCGAGATAGAACATCCCGACCCAACTCTTTTGATAAATTCTTTGTTAACCAAAGATCTAGCTGAAATTATACTTCACCAGCCATACAATGACAAATATGAGCGTATGGGATCCAAGGGAATTGTGCTCTAAATATATCATCACTTAAAGACCTTCACAAAAAGTGAATTTGGCCTGTCAATTAATTGCCATAATTATTTTGCTAGAAGTGCGTTATTAAAGTCCTCCACCGTTTGGAAGCTTAGACCCCTTCATTTTTACTTCAGTCAATATGTATATATATCCACAATGATTTAATTAATTTATGAAGCATAGATGATCAATGATATCTTAAATAAACCAATTTTAGGTTTATGGGCTATTTTGGTATCATTGTAGTGCTTGTGATTTTACAGATCTGAAAAATATTGTACGTTTATGTTATATAAAAATTGATAACTAGTAAGATAATTTTTTAAACTTAAGATTTTGATTATATGAAATTTAGAAATTATTCATATAAAATATTCAGCACAAGTACACAATTGAGCTTGGATATCTGTAAGTTTACTAAGAATTATATTTTGATTTGTATTTAATAATAGCTCTGAAAATTCAAAATTTAATTATATTACTTTAAATTTCTTAAAATATAGGTAATTTTAATATAAAAATCAGTTATAATTACTGTATTTTACAAAATAATAAATCAGATATTAATTTAGATTTAATTTAAATATTTAAATGTGAATTTACAGAGATAATAAACAATATATTATTGTTTATTTTTATCATTATCAATCAACCTAAAATTTTAAATATTTATAATTAGTACTTATTTATACTTACATTAATATGAATGAACATATTAGGTTTATAATCGCAGCCTTTTTTGAATTAAAATTAATAGGCATATAAAATTTATATTTTCATAATTACAGTCATATTTAATACTTAAAAAATTAAATATATAAAACTAAATTATACTTAAACATAAAAATGAATCTTTATCATTTATTAAAAAATTATATCTATAAAAATATTATATTTAGACACACAAAACATAAATTCTATCACAAAAACATGATAAACAAAATAAATAATCATGTGCGGATGCACAAAATTAAATCTAGTCTATACTATTAAACACGACAAATTCTTTGTGTCCAACACACAAACAATTAAATTAGAGTATAGTTTATTAGGAAATTATAATGAATAATAGTTTGCAGAAAACAATTTGCAAAAATAAAAACTAACTTTTTTACCTTTGTGTAAAGACACTACACACCCCCAACTTCCCAACTTTATGACAGAAAAATTGCATCATAGCAGCATAAACTTTTATAATCTGACACAATTTATCTTTTTGTTTCCTTAATTTCTTTTTAATAATAATAATAATTTACGTTTTGCTTTCATATTCAGGATTTGAAATCATGTTCTTCATTTCTAAATCCTCTCCTTATATTCTCCTTCTTCCTTCAAAAGAGCCGTCTTTCACTTTCTTATTTTCATCGAAATTGTTTCTTCCACATCCACAAAATTCTCTCCTCTCTTTTTCTATGGTGACTATTCGTTCGTCCCTTTTCTTGCTCCTCTCGTTTTCTATGGTGAAGCTCTACCATCCCTTGTTATCGCTGCTTCATCAGCTTCAAACCATGGTGAAAAAATCTGTACCACAACCGATTCTTTTTTCAGTGGCGAGTTCTGAAAGGTACCTCTTCGATATCTAGTTCTCTTCTGCTGATTTTTACTTTCTACTATTTTTGTATATTGTTCTCTGTATTTCTTCAGTACGGTGGCCATCTTTGCTGTTATTCACATCTGGGTTTCTTGATTTTATAGATCTAGGATTTTAAAATTTTTCTTTTGGTAGTTAACTATATACATCGTTGTTAGTAATCGTCTACTCGCAACGTCTATAACCGATTTAATATATATTCAGTTAGTCTACATAACTACTAGACAGGAATAGTCAACTACTCATATGAATAACAATAGTTATTTACGTCACAATAATACTCAGTTTACAGTAGCTAACTATTTGACTTTTGTTCGTTTCAAGGGATATGTGTACTCTTCGACAATCCGAACCCACACCGTTTGCAAATTATGTGCTTCCCCAGATTCGTGATGCACTCGTTGATATTTTTGAAAGATTTGGTTGGAAATCTGCCGAAGATGTTTGTTCATTTGCTTGTTCATGTAAGTTTCTGACAGTTCCATCATCTTCTTCGTTGTTATTGTTATTTGGTTCTATTGATTTTGTAGATCCAAAGTAGTTAACTATTTTTATATGCATATTGAGTAAGTAGTAACATTGAATATGGTCATTAGTAATCGTCTACTCTTATCATCTATAACAGATACAATAAATAGCTACTCCATATTCATTAAGTCTACATAACTACTATGCACATATAACAACTACTAATATAACTATCAGTAGTTAACTACGTTACAACAGTAATTAGTTTAGAATAGCTAATTTTTTGCCATTTTTCCTTTGTAGGATATGTGTTCTCTTCGACAATGTGAACCCTCACCGTTCGCAAATAATGTGCTTCTCTAGATTCGCGATGCACTCGTTAATGTCTTTGAAAGGGTTGCTAGAGAATCTGCAGATGATACTTGTTCATTTGCTTGTCCATGTAAAGTTTTAAACCAAACATTCAAGGAACCATCTTTCATCAAGGTGCTCAACCTATCTGCCATCATTAAACGGCTCAATTTAATGAAGTGCTACCTTAAATTCTTTGAGTCAGCGAAAATAGATAACTACCAATAATCGACTTTGAGAAGTAGCTATCTAATCGAAATAGACAATTATTAATACTTAGTTAAGTATTAGAATCAACTGTGAGTTGTATGGAAATAATAGACAACTATTAATAATCGACTTGGAGTGCTAGCTATCTAATCGAAATATGTTACAAAGTAGTCAATATCTCTGTCATTCAAACGAACCTTCATTTTAAACATAGTCACCTACTAGTAGTCGTCTACTATAAATATGA